TGCGGGAGCCCGGGGGGGGGGGGGGGGGGGGGGGGCGCACACCTGGGTCCAGGGGCCGGGCCGGGAGAGCCCTCCCCACCGCCCCGCCCCGGGAGCCTGCCGTGCCCCGGCGGCGCCCTCACCGATGGCGAAGGCCTCCTTGGACTGGGTGCCGTGCTCGTTGTACCAGGGCGGCCGGCCCGCCGTGTAGATGGTGCGCTTGCTGGTGCGCAGCAGGGGCGGCTCGGACTTGCACTGGCTGGTGGTGCGCTTCCGCGGCGCGCGCCCCGGGCCCATGGGCGGGAGCAGCCGGTCCAGGGCCTCGGCGTTGCTGCTGCGGAAGGGGAACAGCTCGCTGGGCCCCGCCAAGCACACCGCGTCAGGCCGCCTGGCTGGCTGGCTGCTCCCCGTGCGGGCGCCCTCGGGCTGTGCTCCGGCACTGTTCACACAGGCTCAGAGGAACGGAAACCACAATGGAGTGCGGGGGTGCCTCCCTGCCAGGGCAGGGACTGGACGATGTAGGAGGGAGACTGACCGATTCTCACCCTCCGGCAACCCACAAACAGCGGGGAGGGGCGGAGCCACACGGCCCGCAGGGTGGCAGCTCGACCTGGGACAGGCAGGCAGCCCCAGTGCCAGCTGTCCCCATGCCGCGCTGCGCAGGGGGACTTCCTCCCGCCTGAGGCCCCAAACCAACAGGCCTGGCTGACACCTGCTCAGGAAAGGCCTGAGGCGGGTGGGGACACGGGAGGTGTCCAGGACGTGGGCTGGGCGAGAAGTAAACGAAGGTGTCAATGTGACCGCCAGCCTGCCTGCCCTTCGGGGCCCTGCACAGCGAGCAGAGCCACGGCTACCCTGGGCCCCGGGTCTGGAGCAGGACTCCTGCCCTCGTGAGTGCCTCACGTGTGTGCCCCTTTGTTATCAGAAACCAGGCCAAGTCCTGGGCTGGGCTGCCGCTCAGTCCTGTCACCGCTACAACCCTCAGTGCCAGGGTGCCTGGGCACCTGCTGGGGCAGCAAAGAGGCGACGCGGCCCCACAGGCACACCACAGCCTCGAGGGCGGAGGGCCATGTCTGCAAGGACGGGCAGGCGAGCCCGCAGCGCGGACGGCGGGCCCCGTGGAGGTGTGGCTGTGAGACAGCCACTGCCTTCGGCTCTGCCCAGAACCCGGTGCTAACGATCGCATGGGGGCGGGTGCCCAGGTGACCCGGTGGCAGGCAGGCCTGGGACAGGCCACAGCAGCACCGTGGCTGGGAGCACCAGGAGACTCAGACGGGCACGGACCAGCCGCCCGAGACTGTGGTGTCCCCAGGCCCTGTCACCCTGGAAATGGCAGACGGAGCATCCAGGCAACAAGGAAGCCCCTCCCTCTGTGCTTTCTGCTCCAGAGGAACCCTGAGAATTATGGTTTGCAAAGGGCAAGACCCGGCCGGCAGGGGCGACCCGAGCTGAGGAAGGCCTTGCAGAACGGACCCGATAGGAGGCCAGAGCTGGCCCCGCTGCTGCCCCTCTGCTTCTCACCCAGACTGGTGGCCTCTGGAGGGAGCCTTCAGGTCCCTGCTGTGCCTGCTGGCATCCTACTGAGGTCATGACGACCACAGCAAGGACGGCTCCGGCGCCGGTGCTGCAGCAGCCTGGGCAGACCCCCGGGCCGGGCAAGGAGGACTGACTGCCGGAAAGCCGCCCGCCTCCGCATGCAAGGGGCCTGCAAGCCACGCCAGCCCCGGCCTTCTCCAAGCCTGGCTCTCTGGGAGCCGGGCAAAGCCTCACGTGCCCTCAGCGTGAGCCTCTCACAGGGCAGATCTGATTTCGATGAGGCAAACTGGCAGACCTTGTTCCCTGGTCACAGGCGGACAGGGCACATGACTACGATGACAGGGCAATTCAGCGACGGGCCTGGGAGACAGCCCGCCTGCAGCGAGCAGCCCCGTGCCCTCCCGCCCCAGCACCCGCCTGGCTCCTGCTCCTGATGTGCAGCGCCCCCGGCAGGAATCGACCGAGATGCAGGGGCGGCGGGCTCTTCCCCATGGCTGCGGACAACCGGTCTGCCACTCACCTGCCTTCTGCTCCGAGGGCCCAGCACCCTGAGATCCTGATGCCAGGGTAAGCTGGGGGGCTGCTCATGGCTGGACAGATGATCCGAGGTGTCTGCAGGGGCACCCACACTACCTTCGGTCCACAGCAGCCCCCTAGGACAACTCAGGAGCCACGTGACTGCCCCTCCATGGGGGGTGGGCAGCCAGGATGAGGCCAGGCCCTGGCTGCAGAGGCGACCTCCTGGGAGGCAGGGAGCAGCAGCTGGGAGGCCCCTCGGGCCCGAGCCGAAGGAACAGCTCACCGCCGGCCCAGAGCCGAGGTCACAGGCATAAGAGGATCACCCGGTTGGGGCTGTGCGCTGACCCTGCTGGAGGACAAGCCAGCCTTGGTGTGACCTGCCCCGGGCACCCCTGAAACACCCGGAAAAGAGCTTCCGAGCAGGGCCTGCCTCAGCGCAGGGGCGTCTGAGCTCCCGGCTGGCCAAGCAGCGGTGAATGTCGCTGCGGAGCTGGGCCTCCCGCCGTCCCCAAGGTGCCTCCTAGAGGCATAAACAAATCTGAAACTCTACCCTCCTGAGCCTCTGAGAATAACCCCTGCCCGCCCTCCAGAGGCCGCAGAGCTCGCGTGGGGATGACACCGCATGGCCCGATCTGGCGGCGAAGGGAGCGGGTTCAGGAAGGGGAGTCGCTAAAGGAGCAGGGGGCTGCCTCCATAGGTCCCGAACCCGCCCCGTGAGGCCACTGCCTGTCGCTGGCTTCCCTGTCTGTCCAGTCCTCACCAGGGGCTCTTCCCTTCACTTTCAGAGCGAATGGAAGGAAGGGGGAAGGGGGTGGGGGGAGAGAAGAAGGCGAGAGAGAGAGAGAGGGGGGGGGGGGACATCAATATGAGAGAGACACATCTATTGGTTGCCTCCCTCGCGCGATCCATCTGGGGCTGGGATGGAACCAGCAATGGCGGTCCATGCCCTAGATTGGGAATGGAACCTGAGACCCTTCGGTCTGCGGGCTGATGCCCCAACCACTGAGCCAAACCAGCCAGGGCCGGCTTTCCTCCTGACTCAGCTTCCAACAACATCCGTATGGCTGCCAGAACCTCACCAGAGAAAACCCCAGATAGGTTCAGACATCGGAAAGGGCCTCTCCCGTCCGCCAGGAGGCATCTGGAGGCGGGATGGGCGTGTCTGGCTTTGCCCACAGGAGCTTCCTTCCTGACCCTGGGATTAGGCAGATGGGGAGGCTGGACAGGACTGCAGATTGGGGCCAGCACCCAAGGCTTCCACTCCTGCCGGACACCCGTCCCGGCTGAGGGAAGTTTGCCGGGGAAGTGAGTGAATGAGGCAAGGGGTAGGAGGGGGAGAGGGGCTGGTTCACCAGGGCCGGGCTCAGGGACAGAGGGTTCAGGTGTGTTTCTCGGGGCAGGTGCAGGAATGGGGCTGCATCCCCACCCTACCACCCTGAAACCCCGGCAGGACCCCTCCTTCCCAATGCTCTGGGCCAGCCTCCCTGCACCCCTCAGCTGCAGCCCCACCACCTGGACCAACCAGGACACAGCCTGAGGAGCAGGCCCCGCCCCAGGTGCCCATTTGTCCACCAGCACGTCCCTGTCCTCATGGGGCTGACCCTCTACGGGCACAAGAAACAATGGCAAGATGGACAGGCCACAGGTGTGCCACAAGGTGGAAGGAAAAGGTGGGACGGTGGGCAGGGAGAGGCTCAGGGACCCTGGGCTCCAGCAGAGCCAACTCCGGGGCCTCCAGGGGGTGCAGGGACTGCAGGGGAGCTGGGCCTCAGCATCAGGAAAGGGCGGTGAGCAGCGCCAGGGCAGACCCCTGGTCCCCAGACCTCTGCAGTCCAGTCATTGCCCTCCGGTCCTGGGTCCCGTTCTGTGCTCAGGGCAGGGCCCGGACTGTAGCTGCCACAGCCCGTCTTCAAGGAGGGCTTTTCTCAACAACTTGCCTGGCCCTGCCTCCTCTGAGCTTGGGCTAAATCAAAGACTCTCTGGAACCAGCAGGTGCCACCGACAGGTCCTATTAGAGCCTGTCACCCCGAACCAAGCTCTTAGTCGCTGCCACTGGGAGGGTGTGAGCCCCGGAGGACACATGACCGTCAGAGCCCACGCAGCCTCTTCCTGCCGACACTCCGGCGGGAGCTGCCAAGGCAGGGCGTGGGCCTAATTCCTCTCCCCGCAGCACCCAGGCGGCCCCTCGGAGCCCAGGCGCCCAGGGGAGCCCTCCGGGAGCCTTCCCCAGGGCACAGCTCAGACCAGCCGGGAGGCGCGGGGAGCTCCACACCGCCCCCTGGTGGCGCGGGCCCCGGAGGCACCGAGCAGGAGCCAGTTTGCTCTCGGCACTTCCGCCGCCCAGCCCGCCAGGCTCCGCCCACCCCGCCCACCCGCCCGCGCGAACCCCCGCCGAAGCCTGAGGGTGCCCCGGCGGGCGGGCGGCAGAGGGAGTCCGAGCGCCACCCGCCTGCAGCCCATGAGCGCCGGCCTCTCGGGGGGCGGGGCGGCCCCGGGAGAAACGGACCCCGCGGGGCGCCCGGCAGGCACGCGCGGCAGCCCGGGTGCCCAGGTCCCTCCGCCGCGGAGGGAGACCCGCCGGCCTCGGGGAGACGCGCTCCACGCGCTCCACCGGCGCGGAGGGACGGGCGGACCCCGGCCGCACGCGGCCGCCACGCCTACCGGTCCTCGCTCTTGGCCACGGTTCGGTCCGTCCCGTCTCCGGCCGCGGGGGGCGGCGGGGCCGCGCGGGGAGCGTCGGCGGAGGCCGGGGGCGCCGCCATGAGCTGCAGGCCTCGGCGCTGACGAATGGGCGGGGTGGGCCGCTCCCGCCGCAGTTCGGAGCCGGCCGGCGCGTCCCGCGGACTACAAGTCCCACAAGGCAACGCGGCTGGGCGCCCCACCCCCACCCACCCCCAGATGGGGCTTCGTCAGCCCGGGAAGGACCTACCCCGCGGCTTGCCACAAATTCAGCCGCACACAGTCCCTGGAAAACAATCAATAAACATTTATTCGATACAGTCATTTTTAATACATACAGTTGATGGCCCGCCCGTGCCACTCGGCCTGGGGGCGGGGACGAGGACCGGGACAGTCACGAGGTGAGCAGGGCCCGAGCTCGTCGTCAAAACATCTTGCAAATAAACACTTTGTAGATAGAATATATATGTTTATATATGGTTACAAGGGATAGCTGGGACCTCTTTCAAAATGCACTTATGTACGGAGAACTGGCATTAAAAAACAAACCAAGAAAGCCAAAGTACAGGATGTGTGGCTGCCCGGGAGGAACTGGCCGGCCCCTTTGAACCTCGGTTCCAGGACTAGCCTCCTGAGGCCGGCAGAGCGAGGACGCGGCGACAGCCCTGCCTCCCGCAGGTCAGGGTGCACCGCCCGTCCTTTCCCTTCTGAACTAGAGGAACGGGGGTGGGGTAGGGGGCAGCAGGCTACAGCTGAGGGCCACCAGTCAATCAGGAGACACCCTCATCCATCTGCCTTTGCACAAGCAAATAAAGTGCATCCTATTTTTGTGTGAAGTGCCAGCCCTTTCCTGTTCTCGCGGCAAGGGGGTGGGCAGGGCCAGAGGTAGATCTTCAGAAAGGGACAGGCGTTGTGCCCTGGGCTGCGTCTCGGGCACAGTCCATGCCTACTACGCCCTGGAGTCTGCCACTCGGACCCTCTCACGGAAGGTGTCAGCCAAGGCCAGGTGACTGGCTGTGTTCCTGCCAGAGCGGAGGCGGGCAGGTCCTGCTGACCCACCCAGGGCTCTGCCCCTGCGAGGGGGGCTCTGCACCCAGCTTGCCACTGCATCACCAACCAGAGCCAGGGGAGTCGGGAGGGGGTCCAACCCACCAGCCACTTTGGGCAGCAGCCCCACACCCTCTTTAGGGGGTTAAAGTGCTAAACTTCAAGTTATCCAAGCCCCCACCTCTTCCCACACATCTAGGCGGGGGTCCCACTCCAGGGGCCATCTGTGGACTTTGGAGGGTGACCTGGAAACACCCCCCAGCAAAAACCAGCCCCCTACACCCCAAGGGCCAAGTACCTGAGAGGCTGGGGCAGGCTGTCCCCAGTAGAGGTGCTGAGGTCCAACCTCCTCCAGCCATTGGTGACAAGGGCAGAGACATGGGACCTGGGGCTCCTGTCGGTGCCTGCTGCCCTCTCCCCTCCTGAGGCTGCCCCTGCGGAGGCTGCCTGGCCCACCTGCACCGGCTCTACACCACAGTGACACCCAGGGCACTGTGCCCACCCTGCCTGACACTGGGTCACCCCATGTGCCTTGTGTGTGACAGGAAGGATCCACATCTTTATCCCCTCCCTCCACCATCAGCCAGGCTGCCCAGGAGCAGAGCCTCTGGACAAAGAAGCCAGAGACAGGCAGCATGGCCTGGCCCCTCAACCTGGGAAGTGTCCCCCATGCAGGGTGCGAGAGCCCAGCCCAGCGTGAAGCCCCTCCTCTCCAGGGCGGGTGAGGATGGCAGCTTGGGGCAGGAGGGTGCCTGGTCAGTGCTGCCTCCCTGAGGGGCCCTAGCCCAGCCTCCAGATCCACCGTTGGCACCAGGAGATCCTTAGCACCAAAATGTCAGATTGTTGTAAGTTTTTGTATAAAAAACAGAATAAAAAAAGGTTGTTACTTGTCACAGCCACAAGACTGGCATCCACTACACACCCAGGAGAAACAAGCACACAGGAAAATATCAAAATTCACATCGTCCAGGATCGGCAAGCCGAGCCCTCAACCCACCCACCCCCGTGGAAAATAGCCTCCATCCAAACCAGGGACGCTGTGTCCTCTTCCCAAGGCAATGCCACAGCCGGAAGGCGGGGCCCAGGAGGAGGCCAGAGGTGTCCACCCACTCCGCCAGGTGCCCTGGACTCCAGCCTGAACCCAATTAGCAGGCCTCGCTGTCCTCAAGGCCCCAAAGGGAGCCAAGACAGCCCAGAGCTCCCATCAACCCACTGTGACCTGCCAAATCCCCCCCTGGCCTTCAGCTCTCACATCAAAAGACCATACACCCAGAAACAAAGGGGCAGGTAAAAAGAGGGTAGGGTGTTCCCACAGGAACCTGGCCACAGGCCAAACCTGACCAGCAGACAGAAGGCTGCTTCCTGCAGCGGTCACTCCACAGAGCTGGGCTGTTCCCTGCCCCACATGCCCAGGGCCCCAGGGCCCAGACTGGCCTATCCCTAACCCAGCAGGCTATCCCAGCCAGGCCCGCAGTGACGGCAAAGCTGGAGCGGGCTCCTTGTGGCCCAGCTCCTGCAGCCCTGCAAGCGGAAAACCAGAGGCCCCCTTGCCCCAAGCTGGGGATGGCAGAGAGCCATGGGCACAAGCCAGTGGTCGCGGCCCAAGCACAGCAGGGTCACACGGGCAGGGAGGTGGCTGGAGAGGTAGAGAACAGAAGCTGAGGAACCAGAGACGGGCAGGGTGAAGGGGACGGACCATCGGGTCAGCACGGCAGCGGTCAGACTCAGGGTCTGTCCAGGGAGGTAGCTGGGGGTGCTGGGGTTCCAGTGTTGGGTGGAGAGGCGAGGCTGCTGAGGTACCCTCATCAGCCCAGAACCAGGGACCCCGAGCCTTGGGCCTGAGGAAGCAGGTGGGGCACGCAGCTCACGTGCCCGGGGCCAAAAGGCATCTGGCCGCTCTGCACCACCCTCACGGCACTGAGGCCCAGGCTGCAGACTCTCCTCTGCCCCTCCGGGCTCTGCCAGCCCGAGCCCTCCAGGCGATTGCACTTCTGTGACTGCCCTGGCCCTTCTCAGGGAGCCCCAGCCTGGGGGCCTGCAGCAGCTGCTGCCCCACTGGACAGAGGAGGAGGCAGGGGTGGGGCTGGGGAACTGGCGGGCAGGGCAGCCTAGAGCTAGCTACCCCACCCCGGACAGAGGAGGGCTCGGCCAGCATGGAGCCGGGCCCCGCCAACCACCATGCTCACTTCTCGGGGGACTTGCTGGCTCCCACCTTCCGGCCAGTGGAGCCCCGGGCCCCCTTGTCTCTGCCTCCTGGGGGCCAGTCCTCCTGGTGGGGGGGCATCTTGGGTGCAGGCTCTTCAGGAAGCTGCTCCTTGGGCCTGCGGCCCCGCTTCTTCCCGCCTGCCAGACTCTTCTCCTTCCTGGGGGCCAGCGATTCCTGGCTCCTGTATTTGGGCGGCGAGTCTGCCGAAGTGCGGAACCAGTTCTGGGGAGAGAAAAGCAGCCGTAGAGGCCCCGGGATGGAGGGCACCGAGCTTCTCGGCCCTCAGGAAGCTGAAGCCGCTCTGACGAGAAGCGCGAGAGGCGCCGGGTCTTTCCACGTTGATCTCTCCCTCAAACAGCACCGCCCACCCCCACCGCCGTCCAGTTCGTCCAGGCACAAGGCCCTGCAGTCCCTCGCACAGGCTGTGCCACCCACCTCTGCGTGGGCCTTGAGGATGTGGTACTTGACGCCACTCTCAGAGCTGAACTCCTTCGGACACAGCAGACAGCGGTACTTCCCCACCAGGTGGTCTCCCTGCAAGACACGGCAGCCCGCCCGGGGGTTGGCCCAGGACTTCCCCACCTGCCGCTCCGGGAAGATGGCCCGGCTTCTCTGGGGGTCAACATGCCCCTCGGCACCCACGGGAGCAGCCCGTGGGCAGACCAACGTGGGACTGACTGAGTAATGTCTGTGGCTGGGGATGGCAAAGGGTCCTGGGCCGGGGTGGGCACGGAGCACCAGCTGGTCCTGGGCTCCCAGAAGAGGCTGCCCAAAGGCCACGTCGTATGTTCCCCGTGCGGGGTCCCGGGGCACTGCTGAGCACCCGCGCATGGAGGACAGTCCGGACTCACCTTGCTGCAGCTGGCGAGGTGGGCCTTGAGGCCGGACACGCTGGAGTAGATGGCTTCACAGCACTGGGCGGGAGACAGTCATGGGGAGGACTTCCTGGCAGCGCCCCCACACAAATCACAGCCCCTACCCCAGGGAGGCTTGTGGGCGGGCTGGGCCTCGGGGCTGAGGTCGAGGCCTCTCTGCCAACAGGGTTATCTGAGCACCCTGCCGAGGCCCAGGGACCACAGGTAGGCCGGCCACTTGGAAGGCTGTCACCAGGCCCATACCTGGGCTCTGTCCCTAAGTCCCAGCGTCCCCACGCCCACCCACAGCCTGCCCCAGCTCACGTCATTGGGACAGTTGACGTGGCCTTTCTCCTTGACTTCGTTCTTCCACATCTCTAGCAGCTGGGGGTTGAGTGTGGGGAGGCCTGGCCGAGTGTAGTTGAGCTGTGAAAACAGGCAGGCAGGCACCGGGGTGAGCCCGGCAGTTGGGCAGAGCTGACAGCGACACGCCCACTGCTCTAAAGAGGCCCTCAACTGTGCCCTCCACAGGGAGAGCGGAGCCTCCGAGGTCAACGCCGGCCCGGCCCAGGGGCAGGGCCGTCACAGGGAACCCAGGTGGAGGCACATCCTGCTCAGAGCCCAGGCGCTCACCCGCGCCGTCTCAGGCACCAGGTCATCCTTCATCCGCCTCTTGGTCCAGTCTCGGGCCAGTTCGTCCTCTGCGATCTCCTGCAGGTGGAACACCGCCACCTGGGCCGACGTGCGGCGGATGCGGCCGCTGGGGGTCCGCTCGGCACCAAACAGGTCCTCGGCCTCGGGGGGCTTGTCCTGGGGCTCCTCGGGGGGCTGCAGGGGAGGAGGCCCAGGTGAATGACAGGAGCCACGTGGCCTGCAGGTGCCGGGAGCCGGGCATGAGCAAGTGGGGGCACACACGCTCGGTGCCTGAAGGACAGGACGGCCACTCACCGGGGCGGCGTGCTCCGAGCGCACGTGGTAGTCATGGCCGGCCTTGGAGCGGTAGGTCTTGCCGCAGTGGGCACAGGGGAAGGAGGGACTGTCTACCTCGCAGGGCGGCTTCCCACAGCGTTGCTGGTGGTACTGGTAGCCCATGAGGCTGGAAAAGGCGGCCCCACAGCCCTGGGGGTCACAGGACAGTAAGAGGCCAGCAAGGGGCTGTGCCTCGCCCCACACTGTCCCACCTGTTGTCCCACTGACCTCCTGGGGGCAGCGCAGCCTCCCCATCTGCTTCAGCACCTTGCGCAGTCGCTCGCGCTCCTCCTGCTCACTCCCCTCGGAGGCCTCTGTGTCAGAGGGCTGGGGGGCAGGCCCTGCCTCAGTGCCAATCCCCATAGGGCCCCTGCCCCGAGCTGGAGCCACCGATGTCCATGGGCAGGCAGTGTGGGAGTGAAGGGTCAGCGGGCAGGGCTGGTGAGATGAAGGGAAGGCCTGTGGTGAGTGTCAGTGGTCAGGTTGGGTGGCAGCTGGGCCCTGTGGCGTACCTTGGCGCTATGCTCAGCCATGGTGTGGTAGTTGAGTCCGGCCTTGGACTTGAACTGCTTCCGGCAGTGCTGGCACTTGAGGGCATCCTGCAGCTGCAGACAGGTGGCCCATGAGAACCTGCTCTGGGCACCTCCCCACAGAAGCCCCGGGGCAGCTTACCTTCTGACACACCTCCATGTGCTTCCTGAGCCCCACGAGGGTCTTCCGGGTGACCACGCTGCAGGTGGGGCAGACAGCCTCGCCCCGTTCGTGAATGGCCCGCTGCCACTGCTCCTCAGCGCCACCTGCGGGGCAGAGCCAGGGCCTCAGGGCTGTCTTGGGCTCCCAGATGCCCTGAACGCCAAGCACACAGCCCAGGGTCCACACTCAGCCCCGCTCTGTGTGGCCCGGGAACCACCTCACAGTCAAGACCCAGCCCGCGCCCCACCCCCCGGCCCGCGCCCCTCCCCACCCCACCCCCCCGCCCGCGCCCCAACCCCCGGGAGCCCCACCACACGGGAGCCCCACCCCCCAGCCCGCGCCCCACCCCCCGGCCCGCGCCCCACCCCCCGGGAGCCCCACCCCCCGGGAGCCCCACCCCCCGGGAGCCCCACCCCCCGGGAGCCCCACCCCCGGGAGCCCCACCCCCCGGGAGCCCCACCCCCCGGGAGCCCCACCCCCCGGGAGCCCCACCCCCCGGGAGCCCCCCCACAGCCCGCGCCCCGCCCACAGCCCGCGGCCCCCCCCCGCCCGCGCCCCTCTCCCCCCCCCGCCCACGCCCCACCACACGGGAGCCCCCTCCCAGCCCGCGCCCGCCCCCCACGCCCGCGCCCCTCTCCCCCCCCCCGCCCACGCCCCACCACACGGGAGCCCCCCCCGCCCGCGCCCCCCCCGCCCGCGCCCCTCTCCCCCCCCGCCCACGCCCCACCACACGGGAGCCCCCCCCCGCCCGCGCCCGCCCCCCCCGCCCACGCCCCTCTCCCCCCCCACGCCCCCCCGCCCACGCCCCACCACACGGGAGCCCCACCCCCCAGCCCGCGCCCCACCCCCCTGGAGCCCCACCCCCCTGGAGCCCCACCTCCCGGGAGCCCCACCCCCGGGAGCCCCACCCCCCCTCCCGCGCCCCACCCAGCCCGCGTGTGCCCCCCCCCCCCCCCCCCCCCGGCCCGCGCCCCTTCCCCCCTCCCCCCCGCCGGCGCCCCACCACCCGGGAGCCCCACCCCCGGCCCGCGCCCCACCCCCCGGCCCGCGCCCCACCACACGGGAGCCCCACCCCCTGGGAGCCCCACCTTGGGTTGAGTGGGCTACGGGGGCCTGCACCTCCTTGCTGACGGCGTTGGCAGGGGCCGGCACCTTCTTCCGGACGTCCTCAGGGCCAGGCCCCTCCTGCTTCTTGGCTCGGGAGCCTCGGGATTTGTCTTCTGCCTTGGCCAGGCCTGTGTGCACATGCGGTGGCACAGGAGTGGGCCGAGGGCCTGAGCACACCGTGGTGAGCCCAGCCCCTCAGGACCTGGCTGACAGGGGCCTCACCTTTGAGTCCGAAGGTTCCCGAGATGGATGGCTGCTCCCCCGTAAACTTCTTGGGTGTCTTCTGCTTCCTTCCTGACTCAGGGGAGAGAAAAGAGGGCCGAGATCTGGTCAAATAACCATCGGGAGGCTGGCCACTGCCCATCCTGCCTGCTGCCGCACCCCTCGCCCCGTCTTACTGTGCTTCATGCGCTCAGCTCCCTCCTCAGGCCGGGACACAGGCCCTGTGGCCCTTGGCGCCTCCTTGCCCCCCAAGGGCCTGCTGCCCAGAGAAAGGGGGCCACTGCTGGGCTCTGTGCGGGGCTGGAGGGCTGAGCCCTGGCCTGCGCTGGATGGGCCACACTCCCCGCTCTCTGGCCGGGCCTGCTTGGGTGGGAGGGGGCAGGCGTCCAGGCCTTCCGCAGCCCTGCAGGAAGGGAGGTACGGAGCAGGAGGCAGGGGGATGAGGGGATCGCTGTGGGCCGTTATCCCAGGCTGCAGCCAGGGAGCGCCCCACCCCTGACCTGGAAGGCACCCCTTACCTTTTCTTCCCACTGGCCCTCGCCGTGGCCCGAGGAGTTTTGTTCTCAGACTTGGTCAGCAGCACCATTTTGCAGGACGGTGTGTGTCTGCCGATGGCCACCGGCCTGCTGACTGTCAGCAGCTTACTGACCACAATGGGCCTGCTGACTGGCACGGGCTTTGAGACCGGCACAGGTTTTGTAACCGTTACAAGTTTTGTCATCGGCACCGGCTTGTTTATGGTCACTGGTTTGGTGACTGGCACAGGTTTGGTGACTGGCACTGGCTTGCTGACTGGTACTGCCTTGGTGACGGGCACAGACTTGGTGACCGGCACAGGTCTAGTGACCGGCACAGCCTTGGTGATCGGCACGGGCCTACTGATTGTCACTGGTTTGGTGACCGGCACAGGCCTGCTGACCGTCACTGGTTTGGTGACCGTCACGGGCCTGCTGACCGTCACTGGTTTGGTGACCGGCACAGGCCTGCTGACCGTCACTGGTTTGGTGACCGGCACAGGCCTGCTGACCGTCACTGGCTTGCTGATCCCGATGGGTTTGCTGACACCCACGGGCTTGCCAATAGTGACAGGCTTGCTCACTCCAATGGGCTTGCTGACCCCAACGGGCCGACTGATGGTGACTGGCCGGCTGACTGGCCCAGGCTTGGGGGCAGACAGGGGACGGTCCATGTGGTTCCAAATCCGGTGCTTCTCCAGCTGAGTCTTGGAGGTGAAGGCGGCCTCACAGAGGGGGCAGGGAAAGGTCCGCCTTTCTGAGATGGCGCCCTGGGTGGAGAGGGCAGGCGTGGGATGGGCTGCCCAGGCCTCTGTGCAGACACACCCAAGCCAACAGCCGGGCAGGGTGGGTTCAGGCCTCCTCTTCCCCAGCCCACAGCCCCTTACCCCTTGGCACCGCTGGTAATGGTACTTGAGCCCGTAGATGCTGGGAAACTCCAGCCAGCACCCTGAGTTGGGACACTTCACCCGTGAGTGCACCTTGAATTCATCTTTCCACTGGTTCATCAGGGAGAGCTGGCGTGGGAAAGGCCAGGCTGCTGACCCTCAGCCACCCCGGCCTTTGTGGACCTGAGCCCCAGACTCAGCACCTGCCCTGGCTGGCAGGGCAGGCGGACTGCAGGAGCCCTTCGGCCTTGGGACCGCAGCAAGATCCAGGCCACCCTGAGCAGTGAGGGTGCTCGCGAGGGGCCCACGAACGTGGGCCACGCCACGAATCCCTAGGCGGAGTGGCCCACTGATGTGGGCTCAGGGCGTGGTGCTGGACATGTGGATGGCAAGCAAAGGCAGGGCAAAAGGCCTTAACAGGCAGACCCCAGCATGAGCCCACCCAGCCCTCGGGGAGCTCACGGGAATGTCTCGGAGGGCCTGGTTCTCAGCTTTCGGACGCCCCTTTTTCTTCCCTTCTGTCCTGTCGCTGGCTGGACTTCCCGGGTCAAAGCAGAGTGGGGGCTGGCTAGGCACTGTGTGCCCGCCCCGGGACACCGACAACCCTGCGGCACATGGCACATCAGGGCTTGGAGCTGCGCTCCCTGGAGTCTCCCCTGCTCCCCAGGAGGCTGGTGAGGCCGGGGAAGCCTCACTGCCCTCTGACGAGGATGGGGCGGGTGGAAGGCTGTTGTCAGCCCAGGACAGGAATCCAGGGCCCCCGGACGCCCCCACCCTGGGAAGGCTCTCAGGAGCCCAGGCAGCTACCTGGACCCAGAGCTGGATATTCAGGAGGTGCCCACACCCAGCACGGCTGCTGTGCCAGCCTGGAGTTGACCTCGGCCTGACCCTCTTACCCAGCTTTGGATCGTGCCGCACAGGAAGCCGGGCCTCGCTCTGGCTGCCATCCTTCCCAGGCCCGCTCCTGCTGGACCCCAGGAGCCGGCGGCCGCCACCAACACAGAAAGGATCAGCCATTGCTGCAGAGCAAGTGGACAGACCTGTGAGGTCCATCAGGGCCGGCTGTCCTGCACCCTCCCCCGCCCACAAACAAACCTGCTCACTGGCGGCGGAAAAGGAACCAGCCTGCCTGTGCTCCCGGTCACAGGGAACGCAGGTGAGGGGGCTTCTAGTTTAGGGGAGTGACTGCCCAGCCGCGCTCTCCCTAGGAGACCCCATCAGCTCGGCAGGATCTCACCCCTCCTGAGACCCTCCCAGGCCCAGTGGGCTCCATGCGTCCTGGACACAGCCCCGAGGTGCCGAGAGCCACGCACCTCACGCCCAGCGCGGGGCAGGCTGCCCCAGGAGAGGCAGGTGCTTGGGCAGCAGGCTAACAGCATTCCTTCTGGGGCCAATTATGACACCACAGGCTGTTGGCACACAGCTGTGTTGGCCGGGCACCCTGGGACACCTTCCTTTCAGCCCCACCCAGACCCAAGGCAACGCCACCTACCCAGGCAGGTGCCCCTGGGCCCTCCTCCCCAGAGCACAGGTGGGAGATGGCCAATAGGGGCACTGAGGCCCCTAACCACTCTCCCCAACTATGTGCGTCCCTTTCCAGAGGCAGGACCGGACTCCAGTCCCTGTGCTAGTGGATCCTCTCCTCTGTTTGCTCCTGCTGGGCCCCCACCCCCACCCCGATGGAGGCCTCATGCAGGCTGGGCTCCTCGGCCAACCTCCACCTGACTGACCTCCTCACCTCCCCCCAGAACCTCTCTGTCCCCATCTACGGGGCCACCAGCACCACCCAGCCACAGGGAACACCTCGCATGTGAGCTGGGGGGCTCTGAGCTCAGTCCTGCTGGGTCCTCTGCAGAAGAGGGTGGGGAGGGGGCTATGTGAACAAGTGACCCTTCTCCTGGCAGTTTCCAACTAACTTAGATCAGAGAGGATGGGAAGGGATTACAGAAGCTATTAGTAAGGTTGAGGTCAGTGGTCAGGACAGTCACTGCACCTTGCCAAGGAGGTGCCCATATCCTGGGCCTGGAGAGAGTTACAGGTTTGGAAAGCTCTGAACAAACTTCTCTGCAACTTCCAAAGGAGACCCGCCAACATCAGTCACCCAGCCCCGTGATGACCTCAAGTGGCCTTCGGTGCAGATTCCTGCTGGGACCCCTTTCCAGTCTTTATCCGGTTTGAGGGGAGAATTCAAAGTTGGGGGCCCAGGAGGCAGAGACCCTCCTTCATCCAGGCCTGCAACTCTCACCACAGGAGGAAGGGCTTCCACCTCCGGGAGCGCCCGCAGGGACAAAAAGGGGGGGGCCTCCGCGGTTGTGGGAGCACCACGCGCTGACCACAGGCAGGCACCGGGCACGGCCAGGCCCCTGGGCCCCGGACCCAGCAGAGGCCGCCAGGGGATGACGCCGGCGGCTGGCCTCCGCACACCTGTCACCTGCGCGGGGAGGCCGGCCTGGCCCCGGAAGGGCCGATCGCGGGCGCCTGGGGAGGGGGAGGCATGAACCAAAATGGCGACTTTTTCTGCAGGAGGAGGAGGGGAGGGGGAGGAGGAGGGGGGAGGGGGAGGGGGCAGGGGGAGGAGGGGGAGGGGGCAGGGCCGCAGCGCCAGCGCGGGGCCGGGCGCGGCGCGGGGCGGCGGGCGGCGGGCGGGGGCGCGGGCGCGGGCGCGGCCCCCTGCGCGCGGGGTCAGGGCCGGGCGGCGGCGGGCGGCGGGCGGCGGGGCCGGGCCGGCGGCGGGCGCTTACCTGCGGGCCCGCGGGCCGGAGGCGGGGCGGGGGCCGGGGCCGGGCGGCGGACGGCGGCGCGGGCGGGCGCGGCGCGGGCCGGCGGCGGCGCGGGCTGCGCACATGCGCGCTCCCGCCCCTCCCACCTTTGACAGCTGGGGCGGGACTCTCGCGGTATCCTGCGCGGAGGGGCGGAGGGAGGGGGCGGCCGGCGGGGCTGGGGGCCTCCAGCACCAAGTGGCCATTCTGCTGCCCATGGGCGGGAGGCGCTGTTCCAGACAGTGGGGTAAACTGAGGCACCCTAGGGGCGCGGGGTCCTGCCCAGGCCCAGCGCGCTCGCATGGAAGCCAGCGGCCGCCGCTCCGTCCCGGCCTTGAGGCGCCCCGGGTCCTGGGGCCGAGCTTGGCAGCCGTGGCCTGCAGAGCCGAGTCCGGCCTCTTCCATCCGGCAGCCACGCCTCCGCCTGTGGCCGCCTCGGGACCTGGCTCCTGGCCTGAGGCCCCGCTTCACCGGGTTGCTGACCATTCAGACCAGCTGTCTGCTCTGGATGGGTGCTCCTGGACAGGGGCCACTGCCTCGTTCCTCTGTGCCCAGAACTGGGCCCCCTGCAGGGAAGCTGAGGTCAGGTGTGGGGGAGATGGACAGCAACCCCGCCAGGATGCGCGAATGAATGAAAGGGGGGAAGCAGTGCTAGTTGGAAACGAAGTTACAAGGTGCGCCTCCTTCCCTGAGGCCATTCCCACCCCAGCCGCACACTGCACCCCCCCACTGACCCCACCTCCCCCCGGAGCAGGTCTGGCTGCACTGCTGGGGGCATGACACAAAAGATGGCACATTTGAGGTCCACTTCTCACAGGGACCCTGGGGATCTGCTTCCTCAAGGCCAAGGTCTCACCATGAGGCAGAGGCAAGCTGGGGCACCCTGTGGAGAGGTCAGTCTGTCAGTCCTTCCCTTGGAAACCAGAAAGGCCTGTGTGACCACAGGATTGACACACGATTTTGGGAGAGGTCCTCATGCGTGTCCTGAGGTACATCCAAGGCTGTCAGCTTTCCCTGTGTAAGTCTGCATGTCCTTGTATGTGATGTGTCAGTGTCGCTAGGTGTGTGTCCGAGTTACCATGTATGTCAGGCAACATCCTCTTTGGACGTCAGAGTCAGGGTGTGTCTGTGTCTTGTACGAGGTAGAAGATACTTGTGTTAGTTTCCAGATGGCTGGACACAGGGGGTGGAGTATGTCCGGACCTAGCAGATGTATGCTCAGGCTGCAGCATGTCTGGAGGTCAGGTCTCATGTAATGTCATGTGTTTTTCTGTAAGTTGGGGTCACTGTGTGTCTAAGATACTGTGTTGGAGTGTGTTGCTCTGGGTCTGGATGCTGGAGTCACTGTGTCTCTGTGTTTGTGTCTGTGCTCAGACTGCAGGGGTTGGTTTATGCCTGAGTTACTATTGGTGTCTGGCTACTGCCTACATACATGTGTCAGAGCATGTGCTATGACCGTGTTTTTTTTATGTTAGGGCACTGCCCTGTCACAAACTATATGGGAGTCCCCAAAAGATAGCCACATCAAATCTCTGGAACCACCCAGCTGGTGTTGCTCAGTGGTTGTGTCAACCTATGAACCAGGAGGTCATGGTCAGTTCCTGGTGAGGGCACATGTCTGGGTTGCGCCTAGTCCCCAGTGTGGGGCATGTAGGAGGCAGCCGACCGATCTCTCTCATCAATATTTCTTTCTATCCCTCTCCTTTTCTCTCTCTAAAAATCAATAAAAACATCTTTAAAAAAAAAATCTCTGGAACCTGTGAGTGGGAGCTTCTTTGGAAAAAGTCTTTGTAGACGTGATGAAGTGAGGGTCTTGAGATGAGGTCGTCCTGGATTATCAGTGACAGTGTCCTCGTGAGAGGGAGATAGGAGGCAGACAGAAGGCGGAGTGACCATGACTGTGAGGTTCTGGACAGTGACGTGTCTCTGGGCCCAGCGATCCTCAGCAGCCACCAGAGCTGGGAAGGGTGAGGAAGAGGTCGCCCCAGCCCTGCTGGTCTCAAACTGTGGCCTGCAGAACCGGGAGGGAATCGGTTCCTGGTGCGTGAAGCCCCCCAGCTGCCACTGGTTACAGCAGCCCAGGAGCCTGGCTCACCTGTGCCAGTGTCCAGCTGCAGTCCTCGGCCTGAGCCAGCCTCTGCTCTGGCTCCTCCCCCTCGTTCCTGGGTTAAACAGGTGCCTGTCACGACGCAGAACCACTGCCCCCTGGTGGCTTCGGCAGGAGTCAGCTGGACCGGGAAACCCCTGCTCCAGCTCAGGGCAGCCCCACCCCTACAAGCCAGCTGACTGGACACCACACTGGGGCACTTGAGAACCAGGTTTATTTCTGGTCTTTTTATCAGAATATAAAAAAAGTGAACGCAAAAACAAGAAAGACAAGACGAGCTTGGGGAACAAGACAAAGGAGGGAGAAGGGGCAGAGATGGGAGGGGCCCTTTGGAAAGGGTGAATTGCAATGCACAGAATGGGGAACACTCAGGGCAGCCAGACAGGGCAGGGGACTTTCCAGAGGGGATGGGCACCAGGCCAGCTTCCTGAAGCCAGCTGGGGGCACAGAGCAGGCTGGGGGCTCAGCCTCGTCTGTGCCGGAGGTTCGGAAGCCCCAGAGGAGCAGCAACCAGGGAGCAGGAGGCAGGAGGCTCAGGACTGCCTCCCGGACCTTCTGCTGGCAGCCCCGCCCACTGCAGGCCTCCTGCAACTGCGCCTCACACTGGCTGGGTCTCCAGTGGGCAGCAGGGGATGTCTCTTAGGAGAAGCTAGGTTTTCCCTGGAAAAGGACAGGGGAATGCCCGCCCATCACTGTGCCTCAGGGTGGCTTCATGAGCTTGAGAGAAGCTTTCCCAAATCTAAGGCCAGGATCGGGCTGCCTGTGCTGGCGTGGGTCCCTCTCCTGCCTGTCAGGTCCTAGGCTCTTGGGCAATCCTGAACCTCTCTACCCTCACTTCCCAGGAGTAGATGCGGCATGTGAGGGGCACATAAATAATGAGTGAAGGTGGTGGGCAGGGTGCCTGGCCAGTGGACACTGGTGACCATCATCTGGGCAGCATGTTGGCCTGCTGGGCCTGGGTAAGGGCAGGGAGCGGGCACACAGCATACAGAGCCTGGCAGTATCCCCCTCGGTGGGTAGTCCTCCCGGTGCTGGGAGGGTGCAGAACTGGACGAGTGACAGACAGCTCTCTCGTCCTGGGAGAGGGCAGGGCGTGGAGGAATATAAATAAGCAAGCACTCCCTGGGAGTCTGGGGGACATCCAAACCCCGCTCCTGCTCCAGGTGGCCGCCCCAAATGCTGCCAGCAGCACCAGGGGTGGGTTTGGGCTCAGGTCCTGGGAGGTGGCACACACTCATGAAGCCCCCACCAGCCCACCCCCAGGCATAGCCCACAGTGCACAACCAGAGGTGGCTGAGGTGACAATCCTGGTCCCACCTTCCACTGGGCCAGGCGTGGCCCTTGGGGACTCCTGGAGGTCCGAGAAGGGCTGTGCCTCATCTTTGCCATGGGCTCTGGTCACAGTGCTGGGGTCTGGGGTTCAAGCCTTGGGCAGCAACTAGGACATGTGTCCGAAGGAAGCTATGGGTAGATGGGTAAGTTGGAACGGGGGCCTCTGGAGTTCTCCACACCACCTTGGGTGTAGGAGAGCCCTTATTTGGGTCCCACAACCACGCTCCTGAGGTCTACCCACCCGCCCTGTACACAAGAGTGGGCAACTTGCAACCCGATCCCCCAGACCTCTCCAAGTCTCTTAGGCATTCGTGGCTCCTCCCACTGACCTTGGCTGAGCAGCTGCAGGCTCCGCCCCTCCTCGCGCACCTGTAGGCGCAGCACCTGCTGCAGCACCTCCTGCCGCTGGGCTTCCTGGGCCAGTCCCATCCGCTGCAGCTTCTCCGCATTCAGCCGAAGCAGGGCCCGGCCTGCAGGGACGGGAAAGGGGTCCGCCCAGGTCAATGTCCTGTGGATATCAGGAGCGAAGGCAGAGAGAGAGAAGTGGGGAGGGGAGGCGAGGCACAGACCCAAAGGCAGGGAGAAGGAGAAACAGAGAAAGAGAAAGGGGGGGTTAGAGAGAGAGAGGTGGGGGGGACAGAGACAGGTCGATTCAGAGAGACAGGATGGACAGAGACTTTGCAGAGAAAAGCCAGAGGAAAGGAGAGACTGGGAGAGACAATGAGATTCTGCAGACACGGCCTGGAGAGGCTGTCAGGAGAAAACGGCTCTCCTGGGGCCTGGCCCCTCACCGGTGATGGCGTGCTGGGAGAAGGCCTCCACGTAGATGAGGTAGTTGTGGGGGCAGTGCTTCTTCAGCCACTTGCACACATCCTGCTGACTCCACAGGACCACAGGCCTCGTCAGGCCACCCAGTGAGGGGCTGGTGTGGTACAGGCCACAGCGGTCAGAGTACAGCCGGCCCTGTGGGGAGAGGGCAGCAGATGCAGTGAGGTGGTGGGGAGGGCCGGGGCCGAGCGGGGATGGCAGCTGGGTACCTGGGGGGCCTCTGTGCCAGGCTGCTGCAGGAGCTTGACTGGCCGGCCACCCGCTGCCCTCTGGCTTCGTGAGTCATGCCAGGTGAGGCTGGAGCCTGGCATCCGAGGCAGGTGGCAGGGGATGCTCTCCGCTGACACTGTGTGCTCCAGGAGGGTCCGGCAGAAGCTGAAGTGGGCAGTGGCTGTGGAGCAGGGCACTGGTCAGAGTGGTCAGGGGCAAAGCCAGAGGCTACTCTCCTTGCTCAGCCCATCTCCCCTCCTCAGAGGAAGGAGCTGCTTTCCCAACAAGGGGTTCCCAAGAGGAAGCACCCTGAGCTGTCCTGAGAACCCCACCTCGCGCGAAGATGGAGAACAAACAAGTCAACACCCATGCTCTGGGGAGCAGGACTACTGCTGATGGCATTAGAGAGATGTGTTCGCCAAGGAGCCCAAGACGGACAGCCAATGGGGCTGCCCTGGGACAGCCTGGCCTCACCCTTGCCTTGGCACAAGCCACACGGAGCCAGGGCACACAGTAGGACCTGCCTGCTACCCGCCGTGTGGTGGGAGGCCCTCAGGTGGCCAGCCTGCCATCTCTGCCTGCCTGGCTGTGCTCACTGGGAGTGGCTCGTTGACAAGAAGCCTGAACTTCAGCGGCCAACACCGGGTTTCCTGCTCCCGCCTCCCACTGGGCCGGGGTCCGGGATGGTTTCTGTGCGTGGCGCTGCCTCGCTGGCATAGGCTGCTCCGTACAGGGTGCAGGGTGCAGCTATGTACTCAGGACCCTTGGAGATGTCTCTCCCTACAAGTTTATTACCCCAACTTTTATTTATTTATTTATTTATTTTTAATACATTTTATTGATTTTTTACATAGAGGAAGGGAGAGAGACAGAGAGTTAGAAACGTCGATGAGAGAGAAACATCAACCAGCTGCCTCTTGCACACCCCCTACTGGGGATGTGCCCGCAACCAATGTACATGCCCTTGACCGGAATCGAACCTGGGACCCTTTCAGTCCGCAGACCGACGCTCTACCACTGAGCCAAACCGGTTTCGGCAACACCTGCCAACTTTTAGTTTTACCATAATTTCTGGGCTTGCTGGTGACATGAGTTGGGGGAGGCCAGACACCTGGACAGGCCCCTCCCAAGGACTTGCACAGGTTCTGGCACACAGGAGGTGCCCAGAAACATTGTGAACGAGTGAATGGAGGGAGGGAGGCTCTGGGTAATGCCCACAAGTCAACAGGGCCCTGGGGCGCGACAGAAAGCTGGGCCCAGGCTTGCCCAGTCTTTACAGCATCCAGACTCTGACTCAGCAGGCAGGACCAGGTTCCCAGGCAGAGAACTTCCCCGAAAGAGTGAGAGACCTTCCCTCCACCGCTGGAGGGGCGGGTTTGGCCGTGTCCAGGTCTCAGTAAGTGGGGGTAGGGATGAAAGTAGGGGGGCCGCATCTTCCTCCCCCTTCTTCTTCCACCCCGTTCCATTCATCGGACTCATTCTCGCACCCCTCTGTTATTAGATGGCCCCAGGGGACTCTAAACTTGAGGTCTAGGGTCAGACTGAGTGTGGCCAGTGTGGCCGCTGCCTTGAGGTGGCTTCCAGTACCGTGGGAAAGACTTATTCTAAGCGGCACCGTCTGGGGACAGGCGCTCGGCTGGGCTGCGAGGCCTCGCTTTGCAGCCCGGCCTGGGCGAGAGCGCGCTGCTCTGGGCAAACCAGTCTGACGCCTCCGCCCGCGCCGCACCGGTCCGTCCCCGGCCAGCCGGGTCCCACCCATTTCCGGACCGAGCTGCAGGTGGGATCTCCGTCCACACGCCTGTCCTTCTCTCCTCCCAGCCCAACGTCTTAATTCTACAGCAGAAAACGGGGTGGGGGAGCGCCCGAGTTGAGCTGTGGCCTTGGCCCACGCAAAGGGCTGGGGAGGGGGTGTGTGTGCGTGTTTTACCCCCGAGCGAAGAGAAAGGGAACCTCACGGCGGTGCCAGCCTAGGGACAGGGACCGCGAGCGGTCACCTCCCCTAAGCCAAGGGAGCGTTGATCCCAAAGGCCTGAGGCCGCGGCACCCCAAACCCAGCGCAGGACAAAGACATAGGAACCCCGCTCAGCAAGGACGAGACCACCCCCCACCCCCCCAACCCGCTCCGCCTGCTTCGGCTCAGAGTCCGCGAAGCCCCGCCCCCGGCCCCCCGGCCCCAAGCCCCCAGCCCGCGAGACCCCGGGTCCAGCCGCGCTCACCGTCCACATCCCGGCGCTCTCCGAGCCCGGCGCGCACAGCCGCGGCGCGGCCTCGCGGGGGGCTCAGCTGGGTGCTCAGCTCCGTGAACATGGGGCCGCGCACACGCCCCTCGCCGCGCAGGGCGGCCGTGTGGCCGGCGGGGAGCGTGCGCCGCCGCCCCGCCCCAGCCGCCCCCGCCCGCGCCCGCACGGTCCCCGCGGCCCGAGTCTGCGCGGCGCGGCACCTGCCGCGGAGCCGGGCGCGGGCGCGCTCCGGAGGCCGGAGGTGTGTCGGCGGCGCGCGGGCTGCCGCGCAAACGTGCGGTCCGCCAGGGCGAGGGCGGCCGGCGCCCGGGGCGGGACTGCGCGCTGAGGGGTCCTGGCGGCTGCAGGTGCGAGAGGCGGGGGCCAGCACACCGCTTCCCCTCGTGTGCGTGGCAGGAGGGTCTTACTGCTCCTGGGACCTCTGCCACCCGGGGCCCAGGTCAAAGACCACTTCCCTCCATTCTCCCACCTCCATTTACTCCTTTAACTTACTCCTTAATTTACACATTTTCCAGTGTTTTCCATAGGTCTCTCCCTCAAGTGGGCACTGCTTCCCAGAAGTCGGTTAGACGCCCCTGGCCTCCCACCGCGCTGTGAACTCCAGGACCGAAAGGGTCTGTCCCCTCCCGCAGCCCCGGAGTCTGACGGCGCCCAGGGCTTGGCGCTAACAGGGCGGCGCAGGGAGGACCTCGGAGGAGGCTGCAGAGGGGTGTGTTTGCTCCAAAGAGAAGCGCTGAGCGGGCGGGGCTGCCGGTCTAGCAGAAGGCCCGCGTTCTTTCCTTCCGTTCCTCCGCTCTGACGGTGTTTTCCCATTGACTTTGAGAGTGGAAGGGGGAAAGAGAGAGCGAGAGAGATGCGATGTGAGAGAGACACATCAATTGGACCTGGAGGATGGAGCCTACAACCGAGGACAGGAATCGCATCGGGGACCCTTCGGCTGCTATCCACTGAGCCAAACCGGCCAGGGCAGGTCAGACTTTCGGCTGGAGTTCTGCCTGAGTCTCGCCCAGGTTCGTGTGGGGCGTGAGCCAAGGCGCCATGGACTGTGCGCGGAGTGGTCATGCATGTCCACCTAAAGCTTGCCACAGCGGTGACCTACCTGTCCCCACGCTCAGCAACACCCACAGTGGAGACGCGCTGGGCTCACCCTCCCACATGCTGAGTCCCCAACCTCTGCGCTGCGTTCATTTGCTTTCCTCCATCCGCTCCCCCGGGCTGGGCTCCCGCCCTCTGGAGCGGCGAGGGCCCACGGGCGGCGGGGCCTGTAGGGGGTCTGTGCCCGCATCGGACCTGAAGCTCGGGCAGCGGCCCTTACGCAGGCGCACACGCCGGCAGGGTGCCCACAACCGCGGCCCCCGCCGCCCAGCTCTGCACAGCACTCAGGCGTGGTGGGGCCTGCGGGGCCGGGCGACTCCGGGCAGCAGGCGGGTGAGCCGGGCGGCGCAGGCAGCGGGAGCGGAGGGCACGCGGAGCAGGTGCCGCCGCGCTCCGGTCCCGCCGGCTGGTCCCCGCGGCGTCCGGGCCGGGCGGTCGGCCCGCCGCACCACTGGAGGCGCTCCCGCTCCAGCGCCCGCCGCACCGCAGTCCTAGCCGCGACCGGAAGATGCGTTCCGGAACTTCCGCCCCGGGTACCCGAGGTGGGCGGGGCTCCTTGCGTACCGCGCTCTGTTTCCGGGGCGCGGGTGAGCGGAGCCCGCAACTTCTTCCTGCCGCGCAGCTTCGGACGTCTGCGGCCTTCGCCTGCGGCCCTCCTCCGCCGCGGCCCTCCTCCGCCGCGGCCTCCTCGCCCGCCGCTCCCGCCCCTTCTCTCCCGGCCCTCGGCAGCGGCGGCGCCATGAACAAGAAGAAGAAGCCGTTCCTGGGCATGCCCGCGCCGCTCGGCTACGTGCCGGGGCTGGGCCGAGGGTGAGCCGAGGCGGTGGGCCGCCGGGCGGGCGCCGGGCAGGGGCAGGGGCCGGCCTCCGAGGGTGGGAGCTGCGGGGCCAGCGCCTGGGGGAAGGACAGGCCCAGGATGAGGTCTCGTGCTGCGAGGCGCGGGGTGACTGGGCTTAACCTCGCGGCGGCCCCAGCCGGTGTTTAGGTCTCTGCGAGGGGGGCGTCCCTGGGCCTTCCCCGTCACGTGGGAGAGTGTGGCGCTCCTGGCCCTGCTGTCGCCGGCTCGCCCTCTTGCTCAAACTCTCAGCTCCCCAGGCGCAGGGACGGCCTCCGGGAGTCTTGGGACTGGGTCCCTGTCACACAGACCACTACCGTTCATTGTTGAATAAGTGAGCAGTCGTTATCACCCTGTTTGATGATTTATTTGGTTAGGATACTGGGTTTCTCGCCTTGGGGCGTTGTGTTAGAATCTGTGGGGTACACGTAAGCCTCATATTTGACAGTGCCCTCAGAGGACCTGTAGTTGGCTAAGAGAGTTGGGCCAAATGCATAAATAAGTTCACAGAGGGTAACAAATTTAGAACTCGGGTCCAGAGGCCAGGGACGCTTGATGAAGTGGTAGGAGAAAAGCTGGCTTTAGGCATGCAGAAATGTGGCAGGGCTACAGGAGAAACTGCCATTGTGTGTGATAGGCTGTTAGGAAATAGATGCGGCAGGTGAGGGACTAGAGAGGAGGAGTCTGAGCAGAAGTGTGGTGATGGCAGCGTGGCCCTGGGGCATTGGGAAGGCAGAGCTTCAGAGCTGCAGGGGGCGGGGGACGGGCTCACTTAGTTCCCAGCTGTTGAGAGTCCGGTCTGAGAAGGAAGGGTTGGGAGCTGGACCCAGGGCACCGTGGGGACAGATGGGATGGAGAAGGACTGAGGGAGGCAAAGCTGATACCAGGGTGTCTGCCTTGGTGCCAGGATGGCACTGCCCTCATCAGGTGAAACTGCCCAGAGGAGCCACAGGGGGACACAGAAGGAACTCTGAGGGGGTTAGCTTGGGTTTGAGGGCCTGGTTGTCGGGAATGGGGCCTGGGGCTTGGAAGGAGAGCAGTCTAATGCCCTGGGCATTCCCTCCTAAGGAGGATGTGGTGGCAAAAGCAAGTTTGAGTAACCTCAGGGTGATTTCTGCCTGGAGAGCACAACCACCGGCGTCTCTGGAGGTGTTAGGAGAGGTGAAGAGTGTGGCGGGAGAGCAGAGAAGGTAAATGGCGTCTTGGGGTCTTCTGCAGCGCCACTGGCTTCACCACCCGGTCAGACATCGGGCCCGCCCGGGATGCCAATGACCCTGTGGATGACCGCCATGCGCCGCCGGGCAAGAGGACCGTCGGGGACCAGATGAAGAAGAGCCAGGCTGCGGATGACGACGACGAGGATCTGAACGACACCAACTACGACGAGGTGACGTGGGGGCTCCGGCCAGCTCCCGGCCAGTCCAGACAGCTGAGCAGTCCTGAACCCTGTGTGCTGATGGCATTGGATGGTGGCTCGATGTGGCGGTGCATTTACTCACAGCGATTCATGGGGTTTCTGTTGCGGAGTGAGGGGAGCAGGACAAATATAAAGATTGCTACCTCTCCAACCTGTCCTGGCCCAGTTGGTTGAGAGTTGTGCTGTGCACCAAAGGATCAAAAGTTTGATTCCCAGTGAGGGCACATACTCCAGTTTTGGGCTTGCTCCCAAGTTGAGGGCATGAGGGAGGCAGCCAATTGATGTTCCTCTCTTCCTTTCTCAAATCAATAAAACCTTTTTTTTTTTTTTTTAAAGAGACATGTTCTTGCAGCTTTTACAACCACTGCATTGGTGTTTTGTCTTGGCCAGTGAAATTTTTTTCCTCTCAAATTACAAAAGCAAGTTTATTTAGAAAGTTACAGAGGAGCATTTGAGACCTTGCTTCCTGACATATGTCTTTAGTTTGATTCAGATAAACTCACAAAAATAAAAAAGTTAGAGAGGTAATAGAAGTGAGCCGGCTGGGCTGTGTAGACTCGGGAAACAAGTTACAGAAGCAGAAGGGCCCTTGGAATTTAGGAAAGTATACTCGAAAAGAAGTCTAGAGCAGACATGCTCTGTGGGGAAAGGGGGCACTCAAGCCTTGGTCAGTGAAAATTCCATCTAATAAAAGAGTAATATGTATATTGACCATCCCTCCAACACACAATAGCTGTCAAAGATCCTGCCCCCATGTGGACACAAGATGGCCACCAGCAGGGGAGAGCAGTTGGGAGGACTAGGCCTGCAAGGGAGGGCAGTTGTGGGTATTAGGCAAGCAAGGGTGGGCTGTTGGGAGGCACCAGGCCTGCAAGGGAGGGCAGTTGGGAGACACCAGGCCTGCAAGGGAGGGCAGTTGGGAGGCACCAGGCCTGCAAGGAAGGGCGGTTAGGGGTGACCAGGCCGGCAGAGGAGGAAAGTTGAAGGCAAACAGGCTGGCAGGGGAACAGTTAGACATCAATCAGGCTGGCATGAGAGTGGTCAAGGGGTGATCAGGCTGGCAGGCAGAAGCAGTTAGGGGCAATCAGGAAGGCAGGCAGGCGAGCAGTTGGGAGCCAGCAGTCCTGGATTCTGAGAGGGATATCCAATTGCCGGTGGAATCCGGCCTATACAGGCAAGTCAGACATCCCTCGAGGGGTTCCAGAGTGGAGAGAGTGCAGGCTGGGCTGAGGGAGGGACACACGCACCAGGCCTCTAGTTTAAAGATAAAAATGTAAAGTGGGATTAAGTGATAGTATTTGCTTTCTGTTGCTTTAGTGTTCACCCTCTTTGTTAGAGGTTTGTTTTTATTTCAGAAAGAGGAAGTGAGAGGGAGAGATAGAAATAGCAGTGATGAGAGCCTCCTGCCTGCCCCCTACTGGGGATCGAGCTCACAAACTGGACATGTACCCTGACTAGGAATCAAACCATGACCTCCTGGTTCATGGGTTGATGCATAACCATTGAGCCACACCAGCTGGGCCACCCTCTTTGTTAATTGATGTTTGGTCCATTGAAGTTTTCTTCAGATATGCTCTAACAATGGCATTTTTCCTCAGAGGAAAGGCTTTCTAAACTTAGTTCAGAAATAATTTTAAATTTCCAGGGAACTTGCAAATGGGGAGAATTTCTGGCTATCCTTCACAGGCTTCTCTCCATCTTCCATGATCTTAGTATAGTTATCGAACCAGCAAATTGACATGACAGCACTCTTACCTGATCTACAAGTGATACCTGAATTCCATAGTTTCCCATCTTGTGTCCTCTGGTCCCGGACCTAGTCCAAGCCCCTCGTTGTATTTGGCTGCTTAGACTCCTCCATCTTCCCTGCCCTTGACAGCTGCTTTGCTACTCCTCAATTTGGGTTTGTCTGGTTGCAGAATATTGTTTAGCATTTGCAACTGGAAGTGCTTTGTCTCTGCTGGTGGGGGTTGTGTAGGAGGATAAATTGACCCTTTGGGTGTGTTTTGGTTCCCAGTTTAATGGCTATGCTGGGAGCCTCTTCTCAAGCGGGCCCTACGAGAAGGATGACGAGGAGGCGGATGCCATTTATGCAGCTCTGGATAAGAGGATGGACGAGAGAAGGAAAGAAAGAAGGTAACACCATTACTGTCTTCACTGTCTTTTATGCAATTTTTTTTTTTTTTTAAGTTTTGTTTTGCCTTGTTTTAGACTTGGAGAAAAGTTGCAAGAATAGTTTGTGTGAGCTCAGCTTTGAGGCACCTGGGTCTTGCCTGTGATGGCAGCACCTGCGTAAATGCTGGGCTGTTGGTCAGGAAGTCGCAGGGCTGGGGCTGCAGTGGAGAGCTTACAAACTCTGCGCTGACTTCCAGAACCCAGCAGCATTTGGGGGACTATCCTGACTACACATCAGGGTTACTGTCTTTGGGTTAGGTGTAGTAATGTTGATTAATATATGTTGAGTTATCATTGTAAGTTCTTTATATTTTTTATTTAAAAAATGTGTTCTGTCTGGTCGATGTGGCTCAATGGTTGAACATGGACCTAGAAACCAAGAGGTCACCGGTTCAACCCCTGGTTAGGGCACATGTCTGGGTTGCAGGTCTATTGCCAGTGTGGGGTGTGTAGGAGGCAGCCAATCAATGATTCTCTCTCATCATTGATTATTCTATCTCTCTCCCTCTCCCTTCCTCTCTGAAATCAATAAAAATATATTTTAAAAGAATTAAAAATGCATTATCATTATAGAACTAGAGGCCCAGTGCACGAAATTCATGAGGGGGGGGGGTCGTTCCCTCAGCCCAGCCTGCACCCTTTTCAGTTAAGGACATCCCTCTTGCAAACTGGGACCTTGGCTCCTAACTGCTCACCTGCCTG